TTGTCATGCCCTAGCCTATCTACCATAAGAATATGAGCGAAATCGAATTTTCGACCTTTGCCGCGAAATTAAGAATTTGTCTGATTTTTACAGGCAGGCGCTCTTAAGCAAAAAGAAGAAGAAGAAGAAAAAAAAAGAAAAAAAAAACACGACGGCAACGGTAACGAGAACGCCATCGAATGAAAGGCCGTTTAATGAGTAAAACAATAGCTGTGCAAGTGCGTCCTCTGCACAACTACCACTTGAAATGACCAGCTAAGCTCTTCGTATTTTGGAGAACGCGCAAGACGGTGTCTCGTTTCCTTTTGTATTTTCAATTGGAATTGATCGCTGGCGTTACAAATTTATCTTCAGCAAGTTCTGAGGCCAACGGACGCTTTGCGCAGATCTAGTTTGAAGGTAAAGTGTGAATTCATTTTTTACGGCTAGGTGTTGTCCGCGAGGTCGCCGTCGTCATTGCTTAAGCTCTTCACTGTTGTAGTCTGATATCGGTGAGGTCTTGCAAGAATGGCATAAAGTCAACTGCTCATGGAGTCGGGTGGGTCACGTCCACCAAACAATTTAAGTTGCATTTTGCAATGTTACTGATGGTAAAGTCTCACTCATGTACATTTTTATTGGGGGGCCGATAGACCAGTTACTCTATATGTTGTTGGGCTTATTGTGGAAGTACACCGAGCACGAGCGTAAGCACAAACGCAAGCGCAAACACAAACAATTCGATACAATAACAAGCACAAGCAAAATCATCCGAACCATCCAAACTGTTTAGGCACGAGGTAATCTGGATCCAGTGTTTTTATTGGCCAAACATAACCACGTGTGGTAAATATCCTTGTGCTCGTGTTATGCCTGAGCGGTATTTCGTTTTCACTTGTTGCAGCGAAAACGAAAGCATAAGCGCAAGCACAAGAAAAAGGAAAAAATTTGATCCTTGTGCTTGTGTTATGCCTGCGTCAAGGCCGTTTTAACTGTGAAATAAGAATTATTGTGTTTGCGCTTGTGCTTGCGTCGCTGGTGAAAACCAGACTCAAAGATTTCTCTGAAAATTGTCACGCTATCTTGCGCAGTGAGCATACATTTCGCGGGATTTATCTCTCAGTTGGTATTGATTTTCGCCGAATGAGAACGCCGCCATTTTTTCTCTTGAAGTAACTTCATTAGTTCAAACAGGCAGGGCAAAGGCATCTCTTCAATTTGTAACACTTTTCTCACATTTTTTCAAGTGCGAAAGTGGAACAGGTATTCGTGCCATGCTGGAGATGATTGACACACCGCCGCACAAGATAGTTTTCTTAGGTCCCGGATGCTCGGTAGCAACCACACCTGTTGCAGAGGCTGCGCCGTACTGGCAAGCAGTGCAGGTGAGCTGATAAAACTCGACAGCCGAGTCTCCCTCTTTATTGAAGGACACCGACGTCCGAGATTGGATCACAGAATTCAGAATTACTCACATATATATTGGTATCCGTATTTCGAAGAGAGATATAATCAGCAACCGATCAGTGCCACGGACATTATGATAGCCAATCCGCTTCGATGGAACAGCAGTCGTCATGACAACCGAACGGGATAGATGTTTAGCAGTCTCTCTATTAGCCTCCTGGGCAAACACGTTTAAGTTGCGAACCCAAAGAAAGTCTGTTCAGACAGTTTTATTCAGTTTATATCGAGATGGCCCTTACAGAGGCAATGATATCAACGGAGGCCCTATGTGGACGTAGAAAGTATAAAACATCCTCATACAGTGAAAACCGATGACAGCTATAGTTACCTACACGATTAAACCGTATGCAACGATAAAGAAAGTTATCAAAACTTGTTACAGTTGAGAGAATGCGAGTGATTATATGGAAGATCATACACTTTTTTGATCATAAATTTGTCTTTATATAGTTACAAGAGTTCACTTTTGTCTTTTCTCAGATTGGATATAGTACATCGTCGCCATTGTTTTCAGACAAGGAGAAGTTTCCTCTTTATTTTAGGACCAGTACATCAGAAACGATGGAGAACCCATCCAGAGTGGCCTTACTTAAACAGTTTAACTGGAAAAAGGTCGCCCTCCTTGTGCAAAACCTGGATATTTATGTGCTGGTAAGAGGTATAAACTTAGAACAGTTTTTCAGACGCAACGGGGTGGGGGTGGCGCCAACGGGAGGTTCAGGCAGAAGGAGCGATTTGAAAATATGTTTATCAGTACTGAAAAGGTCGCGATCAAGGCAGTCACTCTAGACAAATGCTTAGGTTCAAATCACGTATCATAAGATTTGCAAGGGAATGCCCGACAGTTTATTGAGAACATTTTTGTGAACAAAATGTATGATTGTCCATAAGTTTCGTGATTTAAGATGAATTTACAAGGCTTAAAAATTAAACATTAAAACGAAAAAGCGAACGTTTTCTTTTAATGAAGTTATCTTTATCATATTAGAATGAATTAACTTTTAGTCTCGGGTAAATAGAGATTCTTAGCTGTAATGCTTCCTTAAGTTATTTATTTTTACTGTTTCTGAATAGACGAAAGAACAACTCATTCCAATGATAGAAGAGGCAAATATCACCATCACTGCTGCAGAAAGCTTTAAAAATGACCCATCTTCATCAGTCAAGTATTTACTTAAGGTAAAATTACATCCTTAGCTTAAAAAAATATCTTAAAACTTAGATCTACCCTAAATATGTGAGTAGACATACATTTATGTGGTGCCTTTGAAATATCTTCAACGGGCTCTACCGCATAAATTTGGTAAAGCTATTTTTAGTTAACTATCAACAGATCAAAATTCCTGTGACTAACTGACTGACGTTTTTCCTGTAAAATGTAGGAAAGAGATGCGAGGATTATCATTGGTTTGATGTATGAGGACATGTTCAGAAAAGCCATGTGCACTGTGAGTATCGAGCTAATTACAAATTTAACACAAATACGACCCGGAGGGGGGGGGGGGGAATAAGTACTAGTTAATGGAGAGTTCTGGGTAGCCGAGACTGGACTGTGCCTGCAGTCTTCGTCGCGACGTTGCTAAGTAAAAAATCGCACCACGCTGGCGCGGCAACTTTCGATGCATTCCCGAGTGTTCACCGTATTCTAAGATGAGATAATAAAGATCGAGACTCAAAAAAAATTATCTAAATCAGCTCATTTAAGTGGTATCTAATGAAAATCGAACCTTAGTCGGGTCTTAGAATTTACAACTCCGTACAAAGCATTTCCTTCCAACAGGCTTACAAGGAAGGAGTGTATGGCAGCAAGTACGTGTGGATTATAGTCGGTTGGTACAACGATGACTGGTGGTCCAAACCTGATGTGGAGTGTAAGGGAGAGCAACTGCTAGAAGCAGCTGCTAACATGATAGAAACTCTTCCACTGCCTCTGAGCACATCACAACAACCCACAATATCAGACAGGGTAAGTGTTCGAATATCTACAAGTGAACAACATTTGAGCGCCCACACAGCGGCAGGAAAAGATCAACCCAGAAAAATACAAATAAAGAATATACACTGACCCAAAGGCCAGCGTAAAGTAAAGGTGACATAATAATTTTCTGATTAAGTTTCAGTTATTGTGGAAGTGAAATGTTTTAGTAAAGCTCAGGGGCGCGTTCCTATCAACAAATACTGTCGAGATTTTGCGGTAATCTCGCACAATTTCATTTGAAATTCAAATAACTTCGAGAAGAGGCCTTTTTGCTACATTTTACAGAGTTTTACAGTGAAATAGCATGTTTTGTAAATGTATTTTCCCTCCTTCACAGACTGCAATGCAACTAAAAACAGAATACGAGGAGCGACTTCAGCGTCACAACTACACTTACAACATGTACGCGGCGTTTACTTATGATGCTGCCTGGAGCATCGCTCTTATGTTGAACAAATCCATACCTCTGCTTCGAGAAAAGAACCAAACCTTGGAAACCATGACTTACCGGGACAAAGAGGCGGCGAAGATCATGAGAGATACTCTGTTCCGCACAGACTTCTGGGGAATGTCGGTATGTACCTATGTGATGTCATTACCACCGCTCTGCTGGGAAATTTCACATTTTTTTCGGCTTCATTTCCGCCAACATTGACGCCTCATTGATTTTCGGGCTTATTTTGACCAATTCCAGGTTTTGTCTGAAGCCCAACCATTGTATTGCTTCAGATTCCTTTGGTTGTTATCATGCTTAGTCACAATTTGATTTTAAAAAAAAAAATGGGGGTCAACGAGCTCGTTTTTGGGTTATAAGCACTTAGAAATTAATGATATGTTGCTATGGTAACTTGTTATAAAAACGTTTGATGCCACCTTTTACCAATGATTGGCCTGGGCATTTGTGTAATATCACTACTGATTTTAGGATCATATGTTAGAGGGTGGTAGTATTGGGTAGTAATGATCTATCAAATTTTAAGTCCCCGTAAACGCTACGCCGGAGAAATTTGAAAACGCAGCTTTATTTCTACGGCTAGGCCTACCGTCCACACTAATCCGTCACGAAAACGAAGCTTTACGAAAACGCTCTTCAAACCGGAGGAATTTGAAAACCCGACTTTTCGTTTTCGTGTGGACCGAAAACATTTTGGAAACGGAGTTCTTTGAAAACGATGACCTCACGATAATCATATGATTTCCTCACCCAGGGTTTTTGGAAACACAAATCCAAAATGACCGGTGATTGTTGCGTTCTTAAATTTCTCCGGCGTAGTGTTGACGGATTTTCAGAGCAAAACCTCCGTTTTCAAATTCCTCCGGCGTGGTGTGAACGGGGCCTAAGCGATGGAAAGATCTGGTACTGTTGTCAGCCACCGCTATAATTTAGGTTAAGTCTAAATAACGCTTGAAAAATTGTATCAAGCATCTTGGAGATCTTGTCCCTTTAGAAACTAATGTGGATGGTGTTAATTGTTTTCAGGGACACGTGACGTTTGACCAAAATGGAAACAGAGAAACTACTGTGCAAATTACTCAGAATAAACGTGAGTTGAAATCGAAATAACTGTTCTTTGGATAGTTAACACGTAGTTTATTGGCAGCAAAAATGTATAAACTATTTGCAATACAGTGGAATCTTTAGATGGCGGCGGGGAGGCGGAAGGGAGGAGGGGGGGAGGACGGGGGGAGGTAAAACCTAGAATTTTTCGTACCCTATTTCAGAATGACTATAAAATGTTTAAGCAAGCAACCGGACCCGAGCAAAAAATTGACACCTTATTCAGAGCTGTAAAATTAGTACATGGCTCTAAATATGACCGCAGCTAACCAGAAAGGGCTTCCATTTGAGTGCCCCTCCCCGGGGAAGGTGGCTTTTAATACACTTTGTGATATTTACATTTAGAAATTATCTTTCAAGCAAACAACTGATGTCTGATTCTCAGATGATTAGTGTGTCAGGTAGATATTGTGTAATTATCTTTAGCCGGGATGTGTCTGTTTTACTTCAGGTGGCAAAAAGAAAGTCGTTGCTACGATAGATGTTCGTGATGGAAAACTGAATCAATATAACGACAGCTTTGAGTGGGAAGGTAACATGTAAAGCTAATGTGTAATCTTTATTATGTCATTACAGATGGTTTTACCTCTTTTAAGGCTGACCAGTATGTGATCATTCAAATGAAAGCCACTTACCAGCAATTTCAATGTTGTACTGTTTATGACGTTGTACATGGTTGGTCTTGCTTAAAGCCGGTAGATGATGATGATGAAACCCTAGTGTGTGACCATTCAAATGAAAGCTACTGAGCAATAATTTAATGTGATACTGTTTATTATGCGGCACAACGTGGTTGTACCTTAAAAGGCTGCGCAGGGATTCCCGAGTGTGACTATTCAAATGGAATCTAGTTGGCGGCACGTGTAAGTTCGGCTGTTGTCATGCTATGCAAGGTCGTTCTAACTTTTGAGTATGTGGATAGAACCTTCTCGAGACGACGATCGAATGCATTACGCAAAGAAAAACACAATGTTTAATTGGAAGCTACACGCTCAAATCGGGCAAATCAACGTTGTCAATAAAGGGATTACTTAATTTTTTTTTTTTGAAATCTTCAGCTACTCTAAAATTTACCTGCAGGCAAAAAAGGAAACTGACACAAGCAGCTGATGTTGATCACTAACCCCCGTTTAAACAGGTTGACCAAAGGCTAAAGGGCTTACAAAGCACAAAACACTAGTAGCAAATATACTCTTACCATAAGACAAGACAATTTATTCCGCCTGAATCATTTTTGGATTTATGCACCTTATTTGCAAGTGGCCAAGTTTTTCTAATGTAAACAAGTTATAAAATATTTTCTGTCTTGTCTGCCATAGGGGGCCTTGCACCTGTGGATGGTGTCCAAATCACTCAGAAGATCTATCAAGAAAGTCTTGACACATCTATAGTTTTCTACTTGTTGGCTTTTGCTGGAATACTATTTTGTTTGTTTTGCCTTCTACTTAACTTCGTTTATCGCAAGCACAGGTAAACAAAAACAGATCATAGAAATGTCCTTAGTTACACCAAAAATATATTTTTAATTCTTTTATCTTCTTGAACAGGACTTTGCTGATGGAGCAAAAGTTTAGATAAACTTGAAAAATATTTTCAAAATAAGGAACACTGCAAAGTTTAAAAATTAAGACGTTCGAGTTTCAGGAAAGAAATCGGCTCAAAATCATGTTAACTTAGTATTTTCGATATTTTTGGTTTCTATTTTTTTAGGTTTTTGTACATATTCAGTAGTTTTTATTTTACTTTTTATCTTAACTTGTATTAATAGCCAATTGTATTTTATGTACTGATCACCGGTTCATACCAGCGTCGTTATATTGAATTCGCTGATCGGTTTTTCAGAATAAATAAAGCTTTTATTATTATTATTATTATTATTATTATTATTGAAACTATATCTTTTAGGTAAATTACATGTGAAAGTGAGTTTCACCTCTATATCCTGTAAATCTAAACGCTAAGGGTTGTTTCCCTCAACCAATCTTTCTATACACGTGTCGACATTATCGGCTAATAATTAGTGTTTTCTGGCGTCGTATCTTATATTCCAGCCAGTGACTTCTTATGGTTATTTCCTTCTGTATTCAGGTTTATAAAAATGTCGTCTCCAAAGTTCAACAACATAACTGTGGTGGGATGTCTGCTTTGTTATATGGAAGTGTTTTTATCAGCGTACGGCAGCTCTGCCTCAACGCAGCACGATCCATCTGTTTGCTATGTAAGAACAGTTAGCATATAGTTGATGTTTTTGTACACGAACATTTCTCCGTTGTATATCAGGGTTTTCATTGAACACCTTCGCGTTTTTGAGGAATAGTCGATAAACAGTGTCCCCAGTATATCATTTCACTTGATGAAAACTGCAGTTAAGGTCGTCGAAAGCTTCTGTTCTTACAATATTTTTTTGGCCAGAGAAAGTTTCTAAATTTTATTAATATCCCGTTAAATCTATTACCCTCGATTTTTTTTGTATTTCCATGGATTTTTCCTTAAAAATTCTCTCACAGAACATTCACTCTTTGTAATCTTTAGATTAAGGCCTGGCTTCTCTCGACTGGTTTCACTTTGGCATTTGGTGGCATTTTCGTCAAAACCTGGAGAGTATACAAAATATTCACAAATAACCAGATGAAAAGAGAGGTGAGCTAAGAACATAATG